TCCGTTCGAGGAGCGCAGCGGGGTGGTACCCTGCGGGACGCCGTGGGGCCGCTGGTACCAGACGCTGGAGGAGGTGTTCATCGAGGTGCGCGTCCCGCCGGGCACCCGCGCCAAGGACGTGCGCTGCAGCCTGCGGAGCCGGCACATCTCCCTGGCCGTGTGCGGGCAGGAGCTGCTGCAGGTACCGCGGGCAGCCCGGGGGGAACGGGCCGGCGGCCGCGCCCCACGCGGAGGCCGCAGGGCGCTGCGGGGTCACGGGCTTGGTTCGGTTATAAAATACCTCTGAAACCGTCGAGTCCAGCCTGTGACCGAGCACTGTGTCAGCCGACCGTGGGCTTTCCTTAAACACCTGCAGGGAATGTAATTCCTCCACCTCTCGGGGCAGCCCGATCCAATGTCTAGTCACACTTTCTGTGAAATTTCTTCCTGATGTCCAACCCAGACCTGCCCTGGCACAGCTTTGACTGTGTCCTCATGTGCTGGTTTGCACATCTGTGCCCTGTGGTGCCTCTCTGTTCTTTGTCCCAGGTTTGGTACAGTAAAAATTACATTCATTGGAAACAGTTTTGTTCACCTGCACGAGGTTCTACAGTTGATGCCTGTTCTCCAGTACATGAAAAGAGAGCTGGAAAGGGGCTTCTTACAAGGCCATGTAGTGATGGGACAAGAAGGAAGAGCTTTAAACTGTCAGAAGACAGTGTAATATGGGATATTAAGAAGAAATTCTTCCCTGTGAGGGTGGGGAGGCCCTGGCACAGGTTGCCCAGAGGAGCTGTGGATGCTCCATCCCTGGAACTGTTCAAGGCCAGGTTGGATGGAGCTTGGAGCAAACTGGGATATTGGAAGGTGTCCTGGCCCATGACAGGGAGCTGGAATGAGATGAATTTTAAGGTCCCTTCCAATCCAAACCATTCGGTGATTCTGTGAGAAACAGAGATATAAATTCACATGGATTTTAATATGGACAGCATTTCAATGCACAGTTTCAATTGCACCAGAAAGCAAAAAAAACCACACCAAAACAAAACAACAAAACAAAACAAAAAAAACCCCACAAAACCCAAAAAAACCAGCTTAAAAACAGATTTGCTTTCACATTTACAATGAAGTGCTCATACTGCCTGTACCCTGCATCAGAGCTAGATATTACTCCTGGCAAAAACACCTGCATTTTCATGACAAGATTCTTAAAAATGGCATTACCTGATGAAAAATACAAGCATTTTCAATGACTTCAGATACTGAAACAATTAAGGTATTAAATGCTTCAATTAAAAAAATAATTGCATAACAAGTAATAATTCTTTGACAAGCTACATACAAGCCTATACTTGTAGGGGCAGATCACTCTGTTTATTTGCAGCAGAATACAAAGTGGTTAAATTGTGAGTAAAACTATATAACTCAATGTGAACTAGGTACTGAAGAGGTTTTACTGATTTATAATATTGTACCTGTCTTTTGCAGGGTAAACTTTTTGACTCTACAGTAACTGATGAAGGAACGTGGACCTTAGGTAATTACCTATATCTGAAGTGACATTATAAAAGCAGTAAAACTTTTTAGTAGACACTGCAGAATAGTTTACCCCCTCTTTATTAATGGGAACGATTACATTCTTCCCATAGCTTTGTAAAAAGGCAGTCACTATTGCTGGATTAAGGAACTGAGGTATTACAAAAGCACTTGAGGCTAAGGTTAATGAGAAAATGCCACGTCCTGGAAGGTCATAATCAATGGGTTACAAACATTTCCACACAGAAGTTTTTTGCAAACCTTCTTTTAAAGGTAAACAGTTATGGTACAATTGTGTGGTCAATGACTCTCCATAATTATTACTTTTTATGCATTACATTTTTTGAACGAGTAACAAAATCTACAGTCTAAGTGAATCAGAAAGAAATTTAAAAACCACACTACGGTTCCTACATATAATGAGGGGAAAAAAAGCATAAATATTGTAAAGTATTCAGACTATTTTGGCGTTTAGCAATCATATTTGTGGACTGTGCCTCTCAGTGTTTTCCTATGAAGGAATTTCTTTTCCATTCAATATTTATTTTAAATATATATTGATAATTTAGTAATTTAAGCATTAAAAGTGTTAATACACATTGTAAAGCAAAGCCCTTTTTCAGTATACAAATAGTCTTCAAAATACACTTCTAATGCTGTATTCAGTAACTTCAGTAGAACTAAATGCCCTGCACATTTACTTTGAAACATGCTTTTGATATATTCTCTATGGCAATACACACTCTGTTTAAATCATCCGTTCATATTTTGAATATTTTGAATTTTGAATATTTTAATATTTTAGTTCATTGCTAAAACTTAGTTCTGGCTTTTGTTGATAATAACTCTCTGTAAAGCCTGACCTCAAGTTTTTTCATTATTGCCTTAGCAGAGTTGTCTTTATAAATAGATTACATCTTTGTTGTGAGCACCTCCAAGAGGTTACTTTGCAATAGAAGTATGAACTGTGTTTAATCCTTTAAAACAGCTTCAGCATCTTACAGGCCAAAAGGGGAGAGATGACAGTACAGGCTATCTTTGCTTCAGCCTTTTTTTTTTTTTGTTAATGTTTATTTATTTATCAAGAACTAGGATGGCATTTGCATTAAGAATTTAAATTACTTCACATCTTGGGCTTGTTAATGGTGAATTCACCAAACCAAGGAAAGCACGTAGGAGTGAGTTTAAAGGTTGCTCTATGTGTTTTCATTCAACAGAAGACAGGCAGCTGATACGAATTGTTCTAATGAAGACAAATAGAGATGCTGGAAACTGTTGGACATCTCTGTTAGAAAATGAATATGCTGCTGATCCTTGGGTACAGGACCAGATGCAAAGGAAACTTACACTAGAGCGATTCCAAAGAGAAGTAAGTAAATACTCCTTATGTTTTTTGTTAGCACACAGAGGTTATGGCCAGAAAAAATGAGCAAATGCCATGGAAATATATGCTTTAGTTCAATACCTATAAAATGCTTACAAGGCTTTATCAGTGTGCTTTGAAGAAATTATTCTGTCTGCACTCTCTCTGCAGGGTTTGTGATAAGTTCAGGTGAGTTTGGAGGTGCTAGTGCTGTTTTACTAATTGCATCTTCCTAACAACTTTTCACTTGTTAGGCTACACACAACTTCTGTTATCTAGAATTATGACATAGCCATATTTACAATAAAATTCGAACATCAAACTCTACTGGCTATGTTTGTTTATAATGTAAGATGGAGTGGAATAGTCAGCTGGAAAAGATGTTCCTTGCACTTTTACTAAAATTGCCTAAATTGGCACACAACTATTCCTGTACATGTCTGCAGAGCTGTATAATTACAGCACTTTGCATACCAGATGAATCAGCAGGCTATGTACTGCAGCAGAGAACAGCAGTTTTATGAACCTTGTTATCCATCAGGGCACGTACTTGGATTTCAAAAGGCAGTTTCAAAGGACAACAAGAGCCAGATCTCTTATTTAAACTTTCTTTAATTTATTTTCTGGGAGGTCTGACTACTTGCTAAGTCAAGAACAGCATTACAAAGTTACTTCAGCAGTGGGCAACCAAACTGTGACAATTCAGAGTTTGTTGATGCATTTTCCAGGAATTTCAGTGCTGTGATAAATCTATGACAAGATGATTGTTATGTGTTCTTGTTACAATGGCAGAATATTAACAAAAAGCAATTTAGGGGTTTTGTTTGTGGGTTGTCTGTGATTTTTTAAAGCATTTTTATTCTAAATAATTTACTTACTAAACAGTTTTTAATTTTACTTCCATCAGAACCCTGGATTTGACTTCAGTGGGGCAGAAATTTCTGGAAACTACAGCAAAGGAGGACCAGATTTTTCTAGTCTTGAAAAGTGAACTTTTTATATGTGATCCTTTAGACAATTTACATGTTACAGTTAAGGACTGGAATCATGTAACTGTTGAAGACTTCAGTGATCTCTTTAATGGATTGTTGTCAAAAGTACTTCAGTGAAGAAAGATCTTTTCCAGCAGAATGAAGACAAAATGTTACCAGCTGATTTATAAGCTGTGATAACTTTATGATCCTAAGACACAAACTATAGAGCAAGGTGTACATAAAAAAGTGAGGTCTTTAAGCAGAATGTTTGGTTTGGGTGTTTTTTTTCCTTTTTAGAAACACCACAGTAAATGAATCAGTTATAAATCTACCACTTGTCTTTAGGCAAGGATATATTCTTTTTCTTCCTTATCTACACTGGGAAATCTCCCCATGCACCAGGCTGGGGCTGATCTGCTAGAGAGCAGCTTTGTGGAGAAGGACCTTGGGGTCCTGGTGGAGAATGAGCTGTCCTTGAGCCAGCAGTGCCCTGGGGTACAAGAAAGCCAATTATATCCTGGGGTGAATCAGGAAGAACATTGCCAGGGAAGTGATCCTGCCTCTCTGCTCAGCCCTGGTGAGGCCAGATCTGGAGTGCTGTGTCCAGTGGGCCTGCTCAAGACCGGAGGGACATGGATCTCCTGGAGCAAATCCACCAGAGGATGTGGAGGTTCTGGAAGCTCAGGAAAGGCTTTGGGAGCTGTGGTTTTCAGCCTTCAGAGGAGAGGCAGCTAAGAGGGAACCTCATCCCTGTCTGCAGGGAGGGCTCAGAGACCATTCTGCTCCAAGGTGCCCAGCAACAGGACAAGAGGTAATGGGCACAAACCAACCAACCTTTGTTCTCTATTGGATGAGGAAGGGAACTTAGGAATTGCAGATGAGAATACGGAAGTGCCTAATGCCTTCTTTGCCTCAGTCTTTAGTGGGAAGACAGCTTGTCCTCAGGACAGCTTGCAAAGCCACTGTCCATCATTTACCAACAGTTCTGGCTCACTGGTGAGGTTCCAGATGACTGGAAACTGGCCAATGTGGTGCCCATTCACAAAAAGGGTGGGAAGGAGGATCCTGACCTCAGCCTGACCTCAGTACCTGGTGAGGTAATGGAGCAGTTTATACTTAGTGTCTTCATGCAGCATGTGCAGGATGGCCAGGGTATCAGAGCCACCCATGGGTTTAGGAGGGGTAGGTCGTGTTTGACCAACCTGGTCTCCTTTTATGACCAGGTGACCCACCTGGTGGGTGCAGGAAAGGCTGTAGATGTTGTCTATTTGGACTTCAGCAAGGCCTTTGACACTGTATCCCACAGCAAACTCCTGGAAAAGCTGCAGCCCACAGTTTGGACAGGAGCACTCTGTGCTGGGTTAGGAACTGGCTGGATGGCCGGGCCCAGAGAGTGCTGGTGAACAGTGCTGCATCAGCTGGGGACCAGTCACCAGTGGTGTCCCTCAGGGCTCTGTGCTGGGGCCACGTCTGTTCAATATTTTATTGATGACATGGATGAGGGTATTGAGTCTTTCATTAGTAAATTTACAGATGACACTAAGCTGGGAGCATGTGTCGATCTATTGGAAGGGAGGAGGGCTCTGCAGAGAGACCTGGAACAGTTGGATGGATGGGCAGAGTCCAATGGGATGAAGTTTAATAGGTCCAAGTGCCAAGTCCTGCATTTTGGCCACAATAACCCCCTGCAGTATTGTAGGCTGGGGATGGTGTGGCTGGACAGTGCCCAGAAAGGGACCTGGGGGTGCTGGTGACAGCAGCTGAACATGAGCCAGCCCTGTGCCCTGGTGGCCAAGAATGCCAATGGCCCCTGGCCTGGATCAGGAATGGTGTGGCCAGCGGAGCAGGGAGGTCATTCTCCCCCTGTACTCAGCACTGGTGAGGGCACACCTTGAGTGCTGTGTCCAGTTCTGGCCCCTCAGTTTAGGAAGGACCTTGAGACTCTTGAGAGTGTCCAGAGGAGGCAACGAGGCTGGTGAGGGGCTGGGAACACAAACCCTGTGAGGAACGGCTGAGGGAGCTGGGGTTGTTTAGCCTGGAGAAAAGGAGACTCAGAGGTGACCTCATCACTCTCTACAACCTCCTGAAAGGTGGCTGTGGGCAGGTGGGGTCGGTCTCTTTCTCTAGGCAGCAACTGAGAATGAGAGGACACAGTCTCAAGCTGTGCCAATGTATTTTACAGAAAGGATGATAAAGTACTGGAGCTGTCTGCTGGGGGAGGTGGTGGAGTCACCATCCCTGGATGTGTTTAAAAAAAGACTGGATGTGGCACTCGGTGCCACAATTTAGCTGTGGTGTTAGGGCATGGGTTGAACTCGGTATCTTGGAGGTCTCTTCCAACCTCGTCATTCTGTGAAACAGGTACCCAGGAAGTTTTACCTGGACAGGAGGAAGAAGTTCTTTCCTGTGCAGTGACTGTACACAGAACAGGTTTCCCTGAGATGATATGGAGTCTGTCTTACTGGGGTTAATCAAGAAATATCTGGATGAAATCCAGTGTCATGTGCTCTGGGATAGCCCTGCTTGAGCAAGGAGATGGGACCAGCTGATCCCACCCACGGTCCCTTCCAACCTGACCCATTCTGTGATTCACTACTGAGGAACAGATATTATGAGATATTTACCATTTACTCATGTCGTCTTCTAACTGTTTCCATGCAGCCTCAGTATCTTATTAAACTAAATTGTGAAAAAAAAAATATCTTCATTATGTCTTACCTTCTTGCCTGGAAGTTTTTTCTAGGTACTGTTCAGCTGTAAGTCACGTTTATAGGCTTCCTACTAAGACATTTCATAATGAACAAGAAAAAAGCTACTTAGTTAAGTACATTTCAATGTTTAATTTAAAGGTACTTATCTTGAGACAGGACAATTAGAATTGCACATTTCATCCTCTCCCAGCAGGCTGACCACACCTTTGAATCACTTTGCACAGGTCAGCACAATGCCCAGGCAGCACTGACAGGTCTGATACCCAGTTACACATTTTGCAGTGCAATCACTCCCATGAGCTCATGAGAAGATTTGATTTGTCCAGTAGAGAGCTTTGGTATGGAGTCTTCTGTGAAAGCTTTAACGAGTTTGAGATATACAAAGAATAGTTTCCACCTCAGCTGGTACCATTACAGGGAAGGGTTGGCTGGCTAACACCTCATCCCACACTCTTGATCTCTGCTTCTCCACTCCATCAGTTCATATGACAATCAGGTTTAACAGCCTGTTGCAAACAGCCTCTGTCCCACAGTGATGCAGAATTCAAGAGGACATTAGCAACACTCTCCCAGAACCTCTTTTCATCTAACATACAATAATACATTCTTATTATTCACTTCCTTGTTAGCACTAGAAGCATGAATGCCTCAAATACTGACCTGGTCTTCAGAACAGTTGTGTTTTACAGAGCTCAAAGAGATCAGAATTGAAGAAATCTTCAATGTTTCTCAACTGGATTGCTCCTACACACATGCCAAGATGGGGAACTAGCCCTGCTCCTACTGTAACAATGTGCCTGTTCAGCATCAGCATTTACCTCTAGTACAGCAAAACTCTGGAAATCTTATGTCAGATTTAGGCCATGAAAGGGTTACATGTGACCCAGTTATTTTTCTTAGTCTTCATTAGCTATCACCAAGCTTCTACACTCAATGAGATAACTCGTGGCATTGGTAAACTACAGCTCTTACAAAGTACTGCAGTTACTGATGCTGTGCTAGTGACTGTCTTTCCTAGAGAAGCACAGTAAAGTTTCTCTTTGCTGCTGCTCTACCTACTCAACATGTTCAGTGGCTATCACATAGGCTAATGTTTAACGTGTTTGTAGTAGGAGGCCAGTGCCCATCCTGGCAAGAACACGTGGACAAGGCACTGCCCAAACAGCACACCAGGTGAGCTGACAGTCATTTGCTGTTGTCGTCAATACTGAATGGGATTAGTCTTTCTTTTCTTAAACCACTGCAGCACTGCACATCAGATTTTCCTAGTATTGCATAATCCTCAGAAAGTGAACCAGGGTTTAAAAATGAATACCTAATTCAGCACCTGCAATTACTGTAAACCAAGGTTAGATTATACAAACTGCTCTACAAACTACAAGGTGTTAAAATTCCTTGTATTGGGATTGTGTTATTTCACTGACTAGTAAACAGTCTACCAAGACTGAAAACCAACTCCTGTTGACTTCATCACGAAAAGAACTGGTATTTGCTGGAAGGATCTTTAGTCTGAAATGTTACATATTCTTTCCATGAGTTGAGTTCTTCATTATTAAGATCACGGTTCAGACTGTTCCTCAAATATTCATGTGCCTGTTGGCAAGGTCACAGGATGGTCTTTTCATTTTATTGTACTCCTATAAAAAAACCCAAACAAACCAGTCAACAGAAGTGCTTTCTTCAAGAGCCAAACAAAGCATGAGATCTTAATTCAGCAAGACAACAGCAAGAGAGCTCTTACAGAAAAATGTGTAGCCTCTTGGAAGTAAAGTCTAGGTAAGGAAGAAGTTGACCATTTTTACAGAGTAAAACAACAGTAACAGCAGTAACTGCATTACAGGTTTTAGCCTTCACTAAGCAGTTATACAAGAAAAACTGTATAAAATTGTCTTACTTGTAAGTGGCTTAAGTGAACAATTGCAAAAAACTTATTCTAACAAGCTGGTTTTCTTTTTGGGATAGGAGCAAGGCAAGGGGTTTTTTCCCCTTTTCCAAGCTTTACTTGGAAATTCCCACATTTTAGTGGGAATGCAGTCCCAATGTCTGTAGAACATTTCTGCTACCAAAACAGCCATCAGTTATTTCTCCATGATACCAGAAGGTAACCTATAAGGACTCTGGAGGTAATTAACAGCTAATTTTACTTCTACATCATCAGAAGTTGATTTTACAATGTCAGAAGTTGATTTTAAAAGGACTTACCCATTATGAGGTGGTCTCTGGAATGGTAGGAAGGTGTGTTATTCTGTAGTAGCTATGTTTAAGCTGCCGAGCTGTACGTCCAGACACAATCCATTTTAATTTCTGCACATTTGGCTTGGAACATTTGCTTGAGGAATATTCTGTAAGGCACTTAAGCACTAGCTCCTTCCAGAAGGTCAATTCTCTATTGCTTATCTACATAACAAGACAGAATGTCCTATGTTAATAACTAGTTAAATCTTCACTTTGTACATATACTTTCAGCTTCTCCAACATGACAGGCAGCCAAATATCCCAAACCAAATGAAAAACAACAAAACCTCACAAGAAATCCACAAAAGAAACCAATATG